AAAAATAATTTTTCTATTATGAATTATATTATTAACTAATTTTTAATTTATGTAACATATTTTTAGAATGATAGATTTTTTTTTTTTCCATTAAGATCATATAGTTTTTTTAAAAAAATATTTTTAGTTAAAAAATAATACTCTTTTTAGTCATTACATAAAGCTAAAATTCTGATACGTATTATTAACATTTAGGGTTTTCAAGCACAAGGACGTGTAATATATCCATATTTTTTTCTTCTTTAACTATTAGGTATTTATAAGATAGAAAGGTAAATTAAGAAACTGGAAGAGGGCAAATTCGTGAATTTAGTCGTCGAGAAAGAGTTTCTCTTACTGGATCTCCCCTCTCAAGTCTCTATATATATGGCGCCGGAGCGATTCTTCCTGGCATGAATTAGGGTTTTGGAATGCGCCGCTCTCGAGATTTTTTCATTGTTGTAAACGGGTAGTATCTGCATCCATCTGATTTGATTGATTGTCATATGATTTGATGATGATAATTAAAACGAAGAAGGGGCTGGAGTTTGGCTCTTCGGCTGATAAAACACGGTGCCGTAGAGATGAATGCAGCTCCCGACACCAAATCTCTCAGTCTTGCCACCAGTATTCCCTAGAACTTTCATACGTATCTAGCGAATTTCTCTGGTGAGATTGATACATATTTCTGGTAAAAACTCTCTTGATTTGTCGTCGGCGGCCATTTCAATATGATTTTCATTTATTTTTGGTTTATAATTTCCTCAAGCTTCGAGTTGCTGAAATGGATTTGATAAATCGAGTAGTAATTCAGGCAGCCTTATTGCTACTACATGGCAATAGAGGTGTTTAACTGCTCGTACATTAGATAATGCTTTTGCTCTTCAGACTTGCTGACATTTGCTTGAGGCCGGTCTAGTAAGCCTAAGCACATTTTCTTCTACATCTAATATCATTCATTTTTAAATTCTTGATAAAGAAATGTAATGGGGGATCCCTCTGGTAGTTGGTGGGGCTGGAGAAATCAATCAGATTGCTCAGCAATTGATCTTAAATATGGAATGCGTGCAATAAAACGGGTTTCTTATTGAATAAAGTCATTCTGAAATGGAAAGAAAAATATAGGTGCATGGGTTATGATTCTTTTTAAAAGAGACGGTACTTAACTGTAAACGTTGTAAATTAAAAAAAAAAATGATTTATTATCTAAATCGTAAAAGAAAAAAAGTTTGAGTTTATATTTTTTATTGGGCAAATTAGAATGTCAACAGTATTATAAGAATATTATTTTTACATCTATTTATAAAAAAAATAAATAATAATTAAAATAAATAAATAAATATTATAGGAGTTAATTTCTACTGATACTTAGAGTAGGAGTTTGTTAAGTGATCTACTCATAATTTTGGATTTTAATTTTAATTTTTTTGATCTGAAATAGTTAATAAAAAAGTGAGATATAATAGTTTAGTAAGAATATCATATTGATTACTGATACATAAAATTAAAGATTGGTAAAAATTACAAAATAACTAATGAAATTTTTGATTTAAATAAATACATTTAATTTTAAAATGTATTAATCTATATTTATCATTACGAGTTTTTTCGAAGTTAACTTATGAAGATAAGTAATCAAATGATATTTTAATTTTATGTATAAGATTAGTAATTCGTCATTTTTAATTTACTTACTGGGACTCCTAGGGTCCATACGGATATTCTTCTCCTCATGAATCCAATATCTCGATTTGACAATTAACTAGGTCGTTCTCATACTCCGTTCAGTAATTGGCACCAATATGTCATACCCTTGATACTCCGTATGAGGTGAACCATCTTTCCCAAACATTTCTAGTAAAAAACTTCTTAACTTCGTTTTACTGAATAATGTCCACAGTAGGGTTCTTTATGTATCAGGTTCGTCCATTATTTTCTAGGGCACTTAGTAAGTTTTCATATACATAGATTCTCATCGTCCAAACAACCACCAAACGTATATTACACATTCACAGATTAATTTAAACGATATCTAAGCAAAAAATATAATTTATATAATTGAATAACCAAGTAACCATATAACCAAATAATTTGTACAAGAGAACCTAAGTAAACCAAATAATCAAGAACACAATTTAAACTAATAATTTAATACACACAATGTAATAGTAAACATCGATTGTTGCCTGTTTTGTAGCACCCGGAAAGGAGGGGAAAAAAAAAAGGGGGCCACGTCAGCAGCCACGTCAGCAGGCCCGGTCAGCAGTCCCGGCCAACCGGGGCCGACCACGTGGCAAGACCGCGTCACTCCGAAAGGAGCCACGTTGGCGATCCGTGTGGGTGCGATCCGACGGCCCAGATCAATCGCGCGATCGGACGGCCCAGATTCAATCGCACGGACGGCCCAGATTCAATCAAAAATGAACGGTCCAGATTAAAACGAAATGAACGACTGTGATCAAAAGGCAAGGGGTTATAAATAGAACCCCCACACCAGACCACAAACCCTAGCCGCCAGCCGCTCGCCGGAGAAGACGAACCAGAGGCCGACCGCCGCCACCCGCCGCCGCACCGGGGAAATTTCCGACCGCCGATCGAGGTAAATTTCATACCCTCGACTCGTTTTTCTCCGCTGATTCCTCCTATGGCCAAATTGAGGCCGAAATCCCGGCCAAACGGCCGGAATATGCGGCCGAAACCCAGCGGCGCCGCCGCGCCCCTCTCGGTTTTTGCCTCCGACGAGGTCCTTCCCGGCCTCCGTTCGATGCAATTTTTATATCACCGTGATCACCATTCTTTTCTCTACAGGTTGACCGAAGCCGAATCACCAAAACACGAACCTCGCCGGAGAGCCGCCGTACCCGAGAGCGCCGCCGCCGGTAAGCTCTGCTTTTCCGTGATTTTTGGCCCCCCGAGGGCCCTAGGGTTGTTTTCTGACAAGGACCAATGCGAGTGTGGCCGAAAATGGCCGAAAACAGCCAACCCGAGGCGACTCGCCGCCGCCAGCGGCGGCGCCGTCGCCGGAGCACGGCGGAGCCGCCGTGCCAGAGTTGCGATTTGGTCCGAAAGGGGCCCTGGGCCTAATTTGGATTTCTTTTTGGAACACGTGCAGGTACTATTAGTGTGTTTCAGTTCCCCGGGAAAAATTCAGGGAAAATTAGGGACAGCCTGCAGGCGCACTGTGAATCGTATTCGGATCCCGAAAACAAGTAAGGACCCCTCACCCTATTTCCTATCACGGTATTAAAGTTCAAAATGATAAAACGGTATTTCTTGAATTAACGAATGTGTGAAATTGCTTAAGGTGGCTAATGGAGCCCGAGTCTAGTGTGATTGGTGATTTACTGTTATTTAGCCTGTTTACAGCTTTAAATGCAAAATGAGGTTTGATGTGTTCATTTTACAGATTTGTGTGCAAATACTACGTTTTTATTAATCATGGGTTGAATGACTGAAAAACTGATACTGTA